TCCTTCCGAATTAATTCGTCGCTTCGGTTCGTTAGTTGCTTGGGTTTGACCCGAAGGGTTCGGTCAAGATTAAGCTGTAATATTAATTATACATTAATATTACTGATCGAAAGCGGCCTCCACCCAGGCATTCTGATCTGTAATGCCTCGTATTTTCATACGTATTTTCTAATTAATTAATTAAGAATTATTTTATAAAAAGGGTATTTTAGTAAATTTATTATTTGGAGACAAAATATTATTTGAATTTTGACGCCAAAAGTATTTTGAAAATTAATCATTTTTTTATAATATACATTATCAATTTATCCTATTTTAAAACCCAGATTATTTACATATTTCGGATATTTTAATTACAGAAAAATAATATTTTATTATGCCCGAAATTTTTCAATAATTAGCTAGGATTTTCAAATTTTCCATTATGGAAAAACTGATTTTTCTTGATTATTTATTAGTAAATAATTGGTATTTAATTAATTATTTATTTATTTATTTATTCTATATTATTTATACAATTATTTTATTCCTTAAAAACCAAGCAAAATCTTCCTAAATATATTTATAGGAGTCCGAGAATTTGAGCTATGGTAAGCTCAAAATTATCGGCCCTATTGAATTATTTTGGGGGAATTTAATAGGCAAAATTATATTTTTAATTATCTCCCAAAATCTCTTATTTTCCTTAATTCTAATTCTCCATCTTTTTAATATCTAATCAGCATATTTTCTTGCCAATCATTCTTCTTAAATATTCCCCAAGTAGTTCTGATTTCCTTATTATTTTTCATGGCATACATACCTTCCATATTCTGAAGATAGTATAGTGCACCCGGGTGCACCATGCTGCACCCGGAAAGAACATTAGGCTTATTTTAAAGAACATGAGGGAAAAAAAAGAACATACGAGTGTTTAAAAAAGAACATGCTAGTATTTGAAAAAGAACATGCTAGTATTTGAAAAAGAACATGTTTGTGTTTGACAAAGAACATAGCCTCTGAAAAGAACATTAGGCACATTTCAAAGAATATGGAATAAAAAGAACATGTTAGTGTTTGAAAAAGAACAAGCTAGTGTTTGAAAAATTAACCTGATTGCTTGGTTATCTTCCAGTTGGTTTGAATTCGTTACTATTCTTCTTTCTCCTCCAATTGTTCTTTTTTGAACAGCTTGTACTTCATAGCTTTAATAATTTTATTTTTTTTAAAACCCCCAAATTCACAAAATTAAACACTTTGACTTTAAAATTATTGACGAAAAACAATTTGCATGTACAAAATTTATACTTACATTGTACTTGAATCCACCATTTGTTCAAGTTTGAAGGTTGAATTGTTGAACTAAGTTCAATTTTTTTTTCTTGGGTTTCACTTTGAAGATGAAAATTTTTGCTATTTTGAATTCTTTTTTAAAAAAAAATAGAAAAAGATAGAGAGAAAAGTTCTAGAGAGAGAAAATGAGTACTTTGGAAATGATTTTTACCCAAACAGTAGAAGAAGTACCAGTATTACGAGATTGACAGCATAGTGAGACCAATTTGAGACCTTCATTGAAATTCTTAGATGAAAACGATGGTGTAAAGGAGAGAGAAAACTAGCAACAAGAAAAAGAGTGATAGGAAGGGAAAGAGGAGTGAGAAATTGCAGGAGCGAAAAGAGTGATGGATTTGCAGTTGCAAGAAAATAAAAACATGTTCATTTTTTGCTCATGTTCTTTTAAATATACTAAATGTTCTTTCGGGTGCACCATGCACATGGTGCACCCAAGTGAACCAACCACAAATTATACATATTCAATTATACACAATCACCTTAATATCCAAACTTTCCTTAATTCTTTTACTCACTTCTCCAAGTAATCCCATAAACCCTACTTGCCATAATTCTTCCCACATTCTCTTTCCATAATTCTTGCATGAGCTAGCCTATAAATACCCCTTCATACCTCTGACATTCTTCACACCAATTCTCTTCTTTTCTTCTCCTCAATTTTACACAAATCGTCCCGTTTATCTTTGAAGCCAATTTTCGAGAACTTTTGGTCAGTTTTTGGGGTATTAACGTTCATAAGATTGCTCCTCTCAAAAAATACTTGAGTTTAGGCTCAATAATCACCCAATTCGGAGTTATATTGAAGGAGTTATAGCCTCTGCAAGTTCTGCCTACTTTTTCCAACGCAAATCCAATTCTTCTTTCTCCTTGGTTTCTTATCTTTCTTCTCCTTTTTCTCTTATTCAATTATTATTATTATTATGGAAGATTTATACTACCTCCGCTTCTGATTACTCGCAACACTTTCCTAAAATGGATGCTTCACATTACTCGCAACAAAAATTTTTCTTTCCTTTTTTAGTAAGTTTTACCCTACAAATTGACATATTTACCCTTACTTTATTTTTTAAAAACCAACTTATTACTACTAATCTAAATTATGTACAATTAACCTTAGATTATTTTATTTTACCATTCCCACTAAATTTACCCAATTTCTTTAAAACTTTACCAATTCCCAACTACTTCCCTTCAATGAATCATCATTCAATTGAAGATGAAAGTGGTTGAACGAATTGAATTTTGGAATTGAATGTTCCAGAATTCACACCCAACCCTAGTTCTTCATATACCCCCATCTCTCTCTCTCTATCTTTCTCTCTCTCTCCCAATACTCTGTCTCTCTCTCTCTACTTTTACTCTATTCTCTCATTTCTCTCTCCTTAGTTCTTCGTATTCTTCTCTCTGTCTCTTCCTCTCTATCAAAATGGCTTCCTCTGATGACGAAAACCCAAATGTGATGGGCTACGAGTCCCTTTCTGCTGCTACTAAAAGGTCGAACCCTCGTCCTTCTTTTGCTATGACCTACATCCCCCGTCGGGGATCTGGTGTGATGAAACCCCTTCGTCGCGCTTCTGTAATTGCGCGAAGGAAGATTAGGGGTGCTAAATTGGCCGAGTTTTCAAGCGACGAGGAGGAGAAACCAATGGCTGCTTCTGGATCTAAAAGGACCGCTCCAAGTTCCACCGTTGTTGATCTGGACCCAACACCTATCGCTGTTGTCCTTCCTATAGAAAAACCTGCCGGAGATGTTGTCTATGTCGCCGTTGTACCTGCTGATGGGGTTCCAGACACTGGATCTGAGACTAGGGAGTCTGAACCCGTTGAATTAACTGCTGAGGAGGTTCTCCGCCCACCTACGTCCCACCCCATGATGACTGTGGTGGATGATGGCCCTAGTTCTGGTGCAAAGCGCATATGATCTGGCTACCTGCTGGTTTGGAGCCTGATGACGTCTATTCGGCTTATCACCAGATCTACTATCCCCAGTTCTCCAACCCCCATACCTAAATGGGTAGCGTAATCTCTTTAACCCTAAAATCTAATTTATTTTGGCTATTCATTTTTTTGAGTTTGATAATTGCATAAATTGGTGGGTGATAATTGGTTATGTATGTTGTTTGAGTCCTTTTTTGTGATGTGATAGTTGGTTGGACTTCATTTGTTATAATCTTGTTTCACTTGGTTTGAGTATTATATTATGTTTGGTGTATTACCCCCTGGTTGAGGGTGTTGATGATTTGATTGTGTTTCCTGTTGTTGTTTCCTGTGTTGATTATCACCTAATTTGGCTGTGTTGGCTCTTAGGGTAGTTGGTTGTGTTGTCTCATTGGGGTAGTTGGCTGTGTTGGTTATTCCCTTAGTTGGTTGTGTTGGCTATGTTGGTTGAATCTGTACTTGGCTGTGCTATATGTGTTAATTGTAGTGGGTGTTGTTGTTGATGCCTGATATGTGTATGTATGTGTATTGGCATATGAGTCCCCCACTAGGCCCCTTAGATGTAATGAGTCCCAAAATGTGTATTGCATCAGTGACACTTAGTTCTCCAAATGATGAAGGGACTCAACTGATAGCTCATTGTTCAGTGTGGAGGCTCTAGTGACTTCTTTTGAGGTTGCTGTTGAGGTGCCCACTGTCAAGATTGCTTTGAGTGAAAAAACACCCTATATGATGGAATTATTTTGCATTTTCTTTCAATCAAAAACATGTGAAGCTTACAAAAGTTAGGACAGTAATCCTTTGAGCCCTAATACATGACTGCCTAGAAATGAGGACTATGTATTTACCAAAATACACATAACTAATACTTAAACAAAAAACAAATATAGTTTAGGCTTCCATGGTTATGTGTGGCAGTCTATGAGTCTCAAAAGCATATTCAGTGTCCCTTGCTTACTTAGTCTGCATCTACCTCCATGTTGGCATCTTGTTGTTGGTTGCTTGTTGTTGGCACTTCTATTGTGTTCAAATACTGCACCACTGTGTTCAAAACCTCTCTGTCTACTTGTAGCAAGTCTGGTAATTGCCCTAGACTGTCCAAATGTCTCTTTTTCATGTGTGGTGGAACAAATTTGTTGTTGCCCTTCCTTTCTAGTATTTCAAGGCTTCAAGCATGACAGACTGAAGGGTAATCCATGTATACTTGTTAACTGTTGGATCAAATGCCTCCCAAGCTTCTTTCACCCTTTCTAGTAATTCATCTAGATTTTTTGGGAAAGGCTGATACTGAATGGAATGTATTACCCTAAATAGACCTAAATCCAACACATTTAAGTCTGGACTTTGTGCTGGTTGGTAAACAAATTCAATGTTGAACCCATATGCATGACATGCTTCTGTGAATTCTGTATCCTTAAGGACTTGGTGAGGCCTAGCATTATCCCGCTGTATAAGGATATCCTTTGGTAGCTGGGGGGCCATTTCTCATGTATAGCTGGAATGACATGGTTGAGTAGCATGTCCCTTATAGCATCCTTGTTCACAGACTCGACAGCCTTAGTTTCCAATGTTCCCTTGGCTCTGTTCTTGCTTGTCTTCTTTGCTATGTCATACTTGACAAAAGGAAACAACCCAAACTTGCCATCATGCAAGAGATTCTTGTTTTCATCATATAGTGGCTTTCCAACCATGCCCATGAACATAGCCTTCAATTTAAACCTCCTAGACTGTTAAGCTCTATATGGGTTGTCTTCATTTGGTAGCAAATAAAATGTTCTTGTTTCTGGGTTCAAGTAGAACCACTTTTCATCAATATGAATTGTGTGCTTCATATCTCTGAAAGTTGGGTTCCCAACAGATGGAACAAGGTGAACATAGCTTAAAACCCACTTAAGTCTTGCTATTTTGTGATTGTCTGTCAGTGCTGGGTGATTACTTGATGTGTGTGTTCTAAGTCTGCCTTTTTTCTTTAATCTGTGTATCACTAAGGAAGACACATGAAGGGCAACAACATAGCTTCTTTCAGTGGTCCTCTTATACAGAGGAACAGACACTAACCACTCATCAGAATATTCTTTGGGTTTAGGCCTAGTCTGTCCTAATTTTTTGGTCCTCACATCAATAGCAGTCTCCTCCCCTAAATGGTTTTTAATTACCTGGAACCATCTAGTTGTTGTTGATCTATGAATATTGTGTTTTCTGGCCATTTTGGATAGAAATCCAAATGATAATGAGTCCCCTTCCATGTTCACCAAGATTTCATCAACTAGTTGTCTCTTTTCTTCCAAAGTTAGTTCTATGTTTGGCCTTCTACCATGACCTTCTTGAATTAGAGTCCCCTCTGTCTCTGTCTGTGTCTCATCAACATCTGCATCATACCCACCATCTGCATGTTCACCATTCTGTTGCTCTTATTCCATTTCTGATTCATATTGGGCTGAATCATGAAGTCTCATGCTGTAGTAGTCCCATTGCTGCTGTTCATCTTCATACATTTGATGCATGCCAAAAAAATCAGATTCAAAGAATTCCATGAGTCCCCTTGGTTTTTTTGCAGAGCAAGTGAAGGTGATGAAGTGGTGGATGTGGGTTTTTTTGCGGTCTTCAGTGGAGCCTAATTCAGTAAATATGGATGCTGCATCAACTAACTCAGCACTTAGAATTAGGATTATTAACAACTAATGTTAGTGAAAATGTAATTTACTAGGGCTGGCTGTATTTTGTGAACTTAACTACTTTTGGTTTGTGTGAAAAACAATCTGAATTTATCACCCCCCCCCCAAATAAACCCATCTTTTTTCACATTCATTTCAGATTGAATGTGAAAAAAGATGGGTTTATTTGGAGGGGTGACCTCTTTATAATGAGGTCATTTTGATTGACAAAAATGAAAAATTTGAATTTGGGTGACTTTTTAAATTTTCGTGAAAAATTTGGGAGGGAAAAACAATTTTCCCAAAACAAGTGGGAAACTTGTTCACAAGTCAGAAATAAAGGGGGGGGGGGGAAACCCCACTAAAAAGATTCCCCCACATGCAAACATAAAGTTTATAAGGGACCACTTCCTTTCCCTCTATTTTATCTCTCTCAATACTATACCCACCCCTTAATTAAACACACTTCAATCTTTTGCCTCGGCCTCCGCAAACTTGTACTTTGTTGCAAGTAACTCGAAGCGGAGGTAGTATAAAAATTATTATGAGTAGTTTTAAAATCAGATTTTAATAATGTTTATGTTAAATTAATTTAAAAGGTTCATGTACATATAGTTGGGGGTTTTTAATTATTTGATAACCTTATATTGATTAAGGTAATATTTATTTGTAGGGTGTGTTCGATCAAGGTTCTTGAGGTTCTTTTTGTGTGGTTTTTCTATAGGGGTGTTCAAATCCGGGTACCCAGGTTTTCGGGTACTCGAAAACCCGGGTACCCGGAGTTTCGGGTACTTGTAAATTTGTCCCATGTCCCGACCCGAATATCTCGGGTACCCGGGTTCCAGGTACCCGAATTATTCGGGTTGGGACATAGGGTACCCGGATTTTAGAATGATTGTAATTAATTTGCTCCTAAAAGGTAAAAAATTGAAAAACAATTTAGATCTACTACCCAAACTCCATACAATTGGACAACCAAGCTACAAAATAACTTTATACAAAGCTTTGTTTCAATAATAATAATAAAATTTGAAATATACAAAGAATTAGAATAAAAAAATATATAATTAGAAATTACAATTAATTTGTTCCCAAGGTACTGTTGCAACTTGCAACATAGAACAAAGCGACCATCGTGTTGGGTGAAGACGCGAAGTAGCACGCAGCGACCACCGTGTTGGGCAAAGTAGCACGCAGCGACCACCGTGTTGGGCGAAAAAGCACGCAGCGACCACCTACGCGAAGTTAGGCGAAGTAGCAGCTTAAGCAAGAGGTTTTGAGAAGAGGCTCAAGGAAGAAGAAGGTGGTTGAGAAGAGGTTTTGAGAATAGAGATGTAGGAAGAACTGAGGGGGCAATGGAAGTAGAAAGAATAGAGAAGGAATTCAAGGAAGAAGAAGGAAGGAAGAAAGAGAAAGGCAGGAAGAGAGAGGAAGAGAGAGAGAGAAAGAGAGAGAGCGGTGGAGCTTCTAGAGAACCCTAAGTTTGTTTCAAAACAAAAGGGTATGTGGGCTGGGCTTGTAGCCTTGTAGCGATTTTTTTTAAAAATTTTAATTTATTATTATCAGGTATTCGGGTACCCGATAATGAAGAATTCCGCCCCATGTCCCGACCCGGATAGAAGGCAATTTTCCCAGGTCGGGTAACCGACCCGAAAAAATAGTTTTTTCTCCTAAATTTCTAGGCGGGTATTTACCGGGTCATCGGGAAATCGGGTTGGGACAATCGGGTCGGGTTTTTTTGAACACCCCTATTTTTCTAGCAAGGATCAAGGTACGTTTAGGTGGCTAGATACCTTTGAAAGTGATTGGTCTTAATAACATGTTTTACATGATTTGATTGATGATTGAATTAAATTGATTTGAATTATGATTTTGAAATAAAATATGTTTGAAGGTATAGACTTTAATAAAAGTATTTTGAATGATTGATTTTTAAATCATGTTTTGAATGATTTGAATTACTTATCATGTTTAAAGGAATTGATTTGAAAAGTTTGTTGAATTAAATAAAAGGTTTTTCAAGAAAGAGTTATTGATTTTGAAAAGTTATTAATATGAGATTTATTCTCAAGTATTTATTTACAAGGTTTGATTTTGAAAGCATGTGGAATTAATTAAAAAGGATTTTGAATTATATTGGGACTATTGGATATTAAAAGGATTTATTGAACCATTGAATTATTATTATTATTAATGCTTTATAAGCATGTTAGTAATCCCACTATGCATATTTGGTTTATTGATAAGGCCTTGGACTTTGTATGACCGGGTCTTTCCTCAAGAATAGCCTTGTAATATAAGGAGACTAGCTTGAGGAGTGTGCACACTTGGGTGAGGAATTGTATTAAAAGGAATTGGTTCTTAATAGAGGAATTGATTTTATTAACTATTATTTTGAATATGAATCATTGGAATCGGTTTTGGAATAATGAGTTTTGAATTTATTGGATTAATTATTGGAATTGGTTTTACGTGTTTGCAAATAAATTGAGTTTACACTATCTTGCACTTATCGTACTTAGCATAATTTGCTAATCCGTATTTCCTATTTGTTTTGGTTCGCCCTGCTTATCATAATGGTAAGCAGTGTTGACTATTTTCAGGTGGAGTCATGAATGAGCATATGGGAGTCCTGGGATTTACTTCACCTAGTTTAGGAATGTTGGTCTTGTCGTTATTTTGAGTACTCATAACAATGTTACTATTTTTATAAGTATTAATAAAATAAAGTTGAGTTTCCGCTGCAAGTTTATTATTTATTTAAGTATTTTGAGTAGCCTTGCGTAATCACACGGTGGTAATACGCCCAAGTCTATCTCTACGGTATAATTATACGTATTATACTGGCATTTCCGTAGAGGGAGATTTGGGGGTGTTACATGATCATTGGACCTCACTGAATAATTAGCTTTCTAATAATTTTGAACCCTCTATCGGAATAATACACTTGTTCGAATGACACCATTCCTTTCATTTTGGGTTGGTTTAGGGGTGGTTTCGGCTAAGTAGGGTGGTTTTGGGTTGATTTAGGGATGGTTTTAGGTGAGTAGGGTGGTTTTGGGTTGGCAAGGGGGTTTCGGGTGAGTGGTTATGGTTTCGCGTGAGTAGGGTGGTTTTGCGGTGGTTCAAGGTGAGCGGTGGTGGTTTCAGGTTATTTTTGCGGCGGTTTAGGGGTGAGTGGAGGTGGTGGTTATGAGGCTGTGGTGGTTTCATGGAGGTAGCCTAGTGGGGTGACTGTTGTTGTTGGTGGTGGTTAATTATCTTCATTCTCTCTCCTACCCTTAATTACCTACTCTATAATTCATTAATTAACTATTATGAAATTTTGTCTTTGGATCCATGAGAGCTCTAAAATTTCATATAATGTGTTCCGGAGGTAGTTAAATGTATAAAATTTTAGAATTGGGTTTTTGGAGGGTTGTGGCTAAATGACTCTTAAATTATACTTGTATTGTATAAAAGATAAGTTGGACACGAATATTAAGAGGAGGAGAAAGGTAGAGATTTATGTGATAAGGATAGAGAATGAATAAAACATGTACAAATATTAAAATGTTGTTATATTTATACAATTACCTAAAACGATAACTATTGCAATATTAGGGGAACAGATAAAGTATTTGTTTATTGATTTTTAAACTTTCAAACTTATACTCGTAGCTTAAACTACTCCAAAAAGGAATAGGGTTTGGAAACCTAAGGAGGAAGGGGATTTGATTAATTTCTATACTTTTTGGTATCAAATTAAAAAAAAAAAAAAGAAAAAAAAACTTCATTCCATAATCATACCAAACATAGGTATTCAGAATTAAGTTCTTAACGTATATCAGTGTAGTTTCATTCCTAAATTTAACCTCATACCAATTGCGAACCAAATGCTCCCTTAAAGTTATTTGACCCAAGTATTGGCTAAAAAGACTATCACTTCTTTGTGTAACATTTTTTTTCTTAAATTTCAATAGCAATCCTCTTTCATTGTCACACTAAAATGATACATTTTTTTTTTGGTACAAAATGACCCTAGTTAGGAATTTATTCCCACAAAGTAAATGTGAATAGTAAACCAAAGTTCACGTGTCAATTTATCCTAGTATAATTGTAAATCACAACGTCTAATTACCCAAAAAAAAAATCTTATCAATAACTATATACTAAAAGACACACCAGCAATGACACGTGTCATTTCCTAGGGTGTCCTTAGTGTTTTTTTTTTTTGCTGAATAAAAAAATTCTATTATAGAAACAGATCTTATACAAAAATAATTCCCTAAACTTATATAATATAATTACTTAAAATAAAAAAAACATTCTTAACATAAGTTTGATAATATTTTTCCTTAAAAAAAAAAGTTTGATAATATTTTACATCATTTTATACCTTACAAATTTTTCGTAATCCTTCCTTTATTTTGATAAAAAAAATTGTCAACTATATTTTATATTTTTTTTGTTTATAAAAAACTAATTATAATGAATTAATGATAATTCAAGAACGATTATTGAAAATTTCTAACCTAGTAAATATTAAATACCAATCACGAGACTTGAATTATCTCATTTTGATGTGTACATCATAATGCAAACATATTTCTTCGTAAATCCCTTGTCGTTTTCTCTCTTCTTTTTTTCTCTCTAGGGTTCTTTAAAAAAGTATTTCATAGGCCAAAAATAGTCAAATTTCTGTGAAAATTTGGCTATTTTCGACCATTTCCTTTAGTTTCAAGGTAGTAAGTACTACAATTGTGGGTTTGAGTGCAGTTAGTGCTCCTATGGTGGGCTTTAATTTGTTCTAGTTTTATTTTTGTTTTTTGAGTTTAGTATGGTATAATTTGTTTCATGGGTAAAGATTTGAGCGGGATCGAGAAAGAGGTCAATCCTTCAATTACAATAAATCGATAGACCACTTTGTCGAAAAAAGCTATAAATCACAACGATATAAAAGAGTATCTATAGAATGTACGATTTGCAAGAATTGCAACAACGATCGTAGCTCTGCTAAAATGACTTTTCTTTTTATAAGAATTGCAACAATTGACCTAAACACTTGTACTCTCTTTCATCCATTTTTTCCTTTGTTTCATTTTTTTAATATGGAAATTTCACCAAATGCCCCTGAGTTATTTTTTTATTCACCAAATACCCATCAAAACTTTCAAATTCACCAAATACTCCTAAGTTTAAGAAAAATGTCATCAAATGTCCTTAATGACTAACGGCGGTTAACACCGTTAATCATTAATGAATAATATGCCACGTGGCAGCTTCTAATTGGTTGTCATAATATTAATTAATTCATTATTAAAAAAAAACTTTATAAATTAAAAAAAAAACCCAACCACCCAAGACCCACCCCACCCCCAACGGCTGACCACCAGCCACCACCCAGACCTTGCGCCGGTGGTCCATTTTCGCAGGTAAGGGGCAGCCCCCCCACCTTCCGACACCCCTTCTCCTACCCTAGCCCCTTTTCCCAGCGTTTCCCCTTCCCCACCTCGAAAAAACCCCCTCCCTTCACGGCCGGCGCCCAAACCCCCTCCCCGGCGCCGGCGAACCACTTTCGCCCCACCCCCTTTCCCCCCTAAAAACTGAAAACCCCCTAAATCAAAAAACCCCAAATCGAAATCTAGGGTTTCGATTTGGGGGGTTTTCAGTTTTTTTGGGTGGTGGTTTAGAGGGGAAAGGGGGTGGGGCGAAATTAGTTCGCCGGCGCTGGGGAGGGGGTTTGGGCGCCAGCCGTGAAGGGAGGGGGGATTTTTCGAGGTGGGGGAGGGGGTTTAAGGGGAGGGGAAACGGAAGGAGAAGGGGCTGGGGGTAGGGGAGGGGGGTGTCGGAGGGTGGGGGGGTGCCCTCGCCGGCGAAAATGGACCACCGGCACAGGGTCTGGGGGTGGTGGCTTGTGGTTAGCTGTTGGGGGGTGGTAGAGTTTTTTTTTAATTTTTTATTTATTTTTAAAGTTTTTTTTAATAATTAATCAACTAAAATTACAACAACCAATTAGAGGCTGCCACGTGGCATATTAATCATTAATGACTAACAGTGTTAACCGCCGTTAGTCATTAACAACATTTGGTGACATTTTTTATAAACTCAGGAATATTTGGTGAATTTGAAAGTTTTAATGGGTATTTGGTGAATTAAAAAATAAGTATTTGGTGAAATTTCCGTTTTTAGTATAAAAACTCCTCTCTCTCTCTCTCCTCATGACTAATGACCAATTGACCAGGTCATCCATTCACCTCACTCTAAATTATAAACTTTCCAAGCTCAAATGTTATTCGAATGTTTGCAATGAAAACCCATTCCTCAAAATCTTCGTCGAAGACTACTCTACTCAGCTGACACACCTATTCCAACACAGTGCTATTCCAACGGTCGATTATTGTCCTTTCCTCTCACCTATTTAATTCAAATTCATCCCTACCTTCCCTAATTTCATTAACCTCTCCTTTCCACCATTAAATTACAGTACAACATCTAAAAGACTAAAAATACCAAATTCATTACTCAGAAAAACAACTAATTAAAAAAGAAAATGGGAAAAGTGTCGTATGAAGAAAGTCGCCAAAAAAGAGTTGAAGAAAATAAGAAACGATTGGAAGATCTCAATCTCATTCATCTTTCTCAATCTCTCAAAAATCTTTCCCCCAAATCGTCTCCCGTAATAACCCCTCTTTCTCATCTATTCTTTCTGTTCGGGTTTAGTCGTCGCATTATATGTTTAGTACTAGTAAAAATTACATTATCAACGTGACTATTAATGTTTATAAAATTTTAATGAAAAGATGAAGGTTTGGAAGCCTCGGACAGTAGAGAAGAAAATGGTGGCCGTTAGACGATCCGCTCGAGTTGCTAAAAGTCCTGCCCCTGTTTATGTTGAAGTTCGTTCTCTTCTCCTTCTTTCCCTTAATTTCCCTTTATCTAATTTCTCCACATTTTTTGAATTTCTATCTTAACATTTCTTTTGTACAGGTTCATTTGCCTAGATTGGCCTCGCCTAGAAAGTGAGTTTATTGTAAATCATTCGTTCAATTACTCGACTTGTTCAAATTTAGTTGTCACTTTATTAATGTTTATATTGACGTAACTATTAATTCCGGACGAAAAACTGTTGGGTTGTAGGACGTATGGGGTAGTAAGAGGGAATTATGGAGTAGCAACAGAAGAAGAAAGAGCATATACAATTGAGAAAGCGGAGAAATTGGTTGCTAAGCTTGAGGAGGAGGGCTACCCTACTGTCATTAGACCAATGCTTCCTTCCCATGTCACTGGCTGCTTTTGGCTGGTAATCTCTTTTAATTAGTTATTATATTATATGTGTCTAATTGTTGAGAAATTACTCTTTTATGGTTAATTGGATTGTTGACTATTTGTTTTACTCGGACTTGAAATTCCTCGGAGACGTACGTACGTGTCCAAATGTCTAATTTGGCTAGTAACACCTGTAACCTTCGTTATTGCAAGTGCTGAATTTGACTATTATATATGAGTGTCGTATATGGTCCAAACATCAAGAATTTGGTATGGGTACTTGTATGAAAGGAAGAGTTCAAATTATATAGGTGGTAAATTGGGATAGTTTCACAAACTTTAACTTTTAAAATAATGAACATGTATACTTGTATAGATAATTAACATAATTCTACCCAACTGTTACAAAATGATGGATATATGATGAGTAATGTCAGTACCTGATTTTGATCCTTCATTTTGCTTGTTAGCTATTCATGAAAACTTCACTTATAATCTAAAGCAGTGTACCTAATCAGAGCTCCTCAACTTGATCTTCAGGGTCTTCCTAGTGACTTTTGCAGGACGAGCTTACCTAACAACGACGCAACAATAACTCTGGTAGACGAAGAGGGCGATGAGTACCCGACAGTATACTTACCACGCAAAACTGGACTAAGTGGAGGTTGGCGCGGCTTTGCTATGGCTCATGAACTTGTTGATGGGGATAATGTCATTTTCCAAGTGATCAGTCACTCGATTTTTAAGGTGAAGAATTTATCTGCGATTGCTTCGTTATTTTCTCAGCTATTTACTTGTTAATTTGTTATGTGAGACATAATTTTGTATGATATGGGGCTGCAGGTATACATTATAAGGAGAAGAGACGATGTAGCTCTAGAGGAATAACTAGCCGCAACTGCAAAGATCTTTTAGAAATACAATTCTGCTGGAACTCAAAAGATCTTTCGGGTGCAAAGATCTTTCAGAAATACAAATCTGCTTTAACAGCAAAGATCTTTCAGATTGAGTTTTTTTCTAAAGTCTTTTGTGATCCAAAAACTGAAGCATCTACTTGTTAATACTCTAGGCTTTTAGCTAGTGTAACAATTTTCCATATCAGGTGTAAAAACCATGAATCAAAGTTTTTCTTGTTAATATTCTAGGCGCGTTTAGCTGAGCTAGTCTAGTACAGATGGAGAATTTCAATTTCAGGAACTATGAAATTAATCAATTATATCATAATTTTGCTATGAAACCTGAACATGGATGTGAAACCTTTTTGCTGAAGTTGATCAATTTTTCAATTGTGGACCTCCCCTTTGTTTGTTTGGCTTAGTTTTTATTGAGATTATTAATATAAATGCAAATGGTTTGCATTTACATTTTTATTACTCCCTTCATATCATAATGAACAATAGAATACAGGGTATAAACTAACAACAAATCATAATATAAAGTATAAACAACCACTGAGTACACAAAATATCCTAACACCAAAGTATAAAAGAAACATTGAACTAACCACTAGTTAGTTGACTTGCATCAATGTTATAAGCTTCCTAAGCACAAGTATTAATAAAAGTGAGTTTCATGACTAAGTTATTAAAATCGATCTACTTTAAAATCGGAAAGGCCACTCAAAATCGAATCATAGAATCACTTGTATAATCAAGACGTCATATTATTAATAGAAAATAGTTGTTTATCCACTAAGCAACCAATAATTGACAATATATATGCTTATAAATAACGTTGTAGGCATGTTTTAAACTTGTAAAGTATTCGCTAGTTAAGAGAAATATGTCGAATATCAAATCGAATCGTGTGACATACGTAATTGCAAAATCGTAAAGCTTTTTTTTTTAATAGGTAAAATCGTAACATTCTAATATTTAAATCGAGATTTTAATAATGATGTTCATAACTAATTACTTTTTTTTTCTTCCCATTGTATATGTAGGCATGTAGCCAATGTCACAAACATACAAATTACTAGATTTTTATAGGATAGTCCATGGGTTGGGCTTTGTCATGGGTAAGCACGTGGCCCTACTTGGCACGTCCACAAGGCTCATGGGCCATGCTTGGGTCATGATTTTGTAATTTCAGGTCGCCCTAGCACATTAAGTAGCCTATGGGGGCTAATGGTCTAGCCTGACCAACCTAAGGTCATCTTTATTTAAGAAACATTGGTAATGACCATTGATAATCCAATCTAAACCCGACGTAAATGACCCAAAATCTATCTTAAACCATTGATAATCCAATCTAAACCCGACGTAAATGACCTTAATGACCTAATTGTCATCTCAAACATGAGTATACATATGGGTTTACCATTAAATAATATTGGTGGTTGAAAATTCTATAGCATGAAGTATCAATAAACTATGTTAAATAAATAAATTATAGAAAAAATGTATCATAATAAGCAAAATCCAACCTCCATTTGGTATCCCTATTAAAATATTGCAATGATGATATTCTATAAAGTGGTAAAGTAAATTGAAAATCTCCTTTTGGTTGAAAGAATACTCAACATGTTTACAATTTCCACATTCTTTACAAAATCAATTTTGCTCAACATCTAAATCTAGAACATTGACATGTTCTAGCCTTTTGTAATAAAGCCACTAATCATCATAAAAAGCACTCAATTTAGGTGATGATACTTGTATAAATAGTCATATAACACACTATTATTATTATTATTATTATTATTATTATTATTATTATTATTATTATTATTAATAAGCCTAATTTATTTATAATTGGTTACAAAATAATTAAGATTATGTACAATAATTATTGGAAAAGCTTAAATAATAATCATCCCTAAGACTACGCTATAAGTTAGGACCATGAACATGTAAATGATAAGAAAGTCAAGAGAGTAAGAATAGAGTAGATATATAGACGAAGAATAAAGAAAAATAAGGATGATGGTATGTTTGGTGTAGGTCCCATTTTTTGCAAGGTAAACACCGGCTCATATACGGCTGGATTTAGCGCCGAATTCTCGACGTTGTCGTTGAGGTTTTTTTGACATCTCTATTCTCATTCTAGTGATGATATTGTAGGACTATGAGAGAGAAGTTTAAAAGTTCTTAAAGAAAAACATTTGGAACTAATGTAATTTGCATCACTCATTAGTCATTACCTTAAAGATTAACCCGTTTTGTTTTGTATGTTTAGATTTAAAATTTGATGGGATTTGAGTTTAAAACTTTATCAAATGAGATAATACTTTGATTTTTAGTACGTTATTCCATTATGTTTATGTGTATATCAAATTTAAAGTATTTAAACATGTACATTGGTGATCACGAAAAAAATTCTAATGAAATAATCTATTAATGGCGAAGGTTTTTTTTTTGTTTGTTTTTTTTTTCCAATTCTAGTAACATTAAAAAAAACAATTTTAATTATTAAAAACATATCATGGTTACACAGTAGTAAAGTTTAGTGTCCTTATGCAATTCGAAGAATAAAACTCCGCAATATGTAAGTCAATAAATATTTCAATAAAATATTAACGTTGTCACTTGTATAATTGTAAAACAATTCATAATCTACACTGGCCGTTGTTGTTGAGTTATACATGTAAAGAAAATGTAGTCATATGCGGTCTTATTTGATTCATTCAAAATTGTTTAAAAAGAAGAAAAAAAGAGCGAGAGGGAGAGACTTGTATAAATTTTATTTTTCGATATATTTTAAAGGACTATGCTAACGAATACCCTTGGTGCGTTAGATAAACATTTTAGATATTTGGTATTAATTGGGAATGCATGCTAAAATCACTGGTCGACCGGTGTAATTAATACTCATTTAAATTTTATATTTCTACTTTTAGCTATCTTATTTAGCATTGTCGGGTGATTCATTAGCTTTTGCCTTTTTATATATATAAAAAAAATTATTCTAAATATGCAATTTCAAAATTTACATCGACGAAGGTAGTGATCTAAAAGGACAAGATTTAGCCTAAGTTTATAATAACAATCCATCAATTCCTATTTTGTGTCATAAAACCAGTCATATAATCCCAAAATTTGAATATCAAATGTCACCTCTCAAATTAACCAACTAAATTAGCTAAATCATCCAAATATCAAAATGAATAATAAATTGAATGATAACTTAGTCAATTTAGCATGGAAAAGCATCAAAATTGTGAAGAATTGGTCCATACATGACAATGTAAAACCAAACACACACATTTGACACATTAGTCATTAGACATTACTCACATTACACATAACACCGAGTAATAATCATCTGTAAACCCTCCAAATAAATAAATAAAAATAAATAAATAAACAAACCAAAAATCCAAATAAGAAGACGAAAAAATTAAAAAAAAAATACACACAAAAACAAACGAAACACCACCATTTCCAAACTCTCCCCTTATTTTCTCTCTCCTCTTTTTCTCTCTCTACAATGGAATTTCTGCTCTTCGCCGGGATCCGCGTTTCTCGATCACTTCAAACTGCCATTTTCACCGCCGTTTCTCCTCCTTCTTTCTCCGTCTAACCGCCGTCTCGATCTCTCTTTCTCTTCCCCTTTTTCTGTACGTCTTTCTCTCTCTTCAAGCTCCGTTCAAAATCATTTTGATTGATTGGTTTTTGTTGGTTTTTTTGTAAATGTTTTGATTACATTGTTGTTTGATTAATGCAGAGATTTTTTATGTGCATTGTTGAGCGATTTAGAGATTAGGGTGTTTGTGATTTTGAGTTGATTGATTCGATTTTGATTTGGGGGTGAAAATTGGGGAAAACCCAAAACGATGTCGTCGAGAGGCGACCATCAAACGGTTCCTTTATCGGTGTTGTTAAGGAGGGAGCAGAATAGTGAGAGAATCGAGAATCCAGAACTTTCTTATGGTCAAGCTAATCAAATTAAGAAAGGCGAAGATTTTACCCTTTTGAAGACTGAATGCCAGCGTATTGTTGGTGATGGTGTTACCACTTTCTCCGTTTTCGGGGTAATTTCTCGATTTTTCGATGATTTTTGTGGTTTTTTTTCGATTTTTTTTTTTTTTCGATTTTTTTTTTTTTTGGAATTTATGATCATTATTGAATTGATATTGTGTTGATTGATTGATTTGTTGTTTAAGAATCAATGAGGTTGATGGGAGTAAGTTTGTTATTGTCAATTTGGTTGGTATTTGATGTGGGGCTGAAACTGTTGTGTTGAATGAGATTGATTGTTTGATTGATTGATGGGAGTAAGTTTGTAATTGCAGCTGTTTGATGGACATAATGGATCTGCTGCTGCTATCTATGCCAAAGAACATCTTTTGAGTAATGTTTTAAGCGCGATGCCAACGGATCTTAATCGAGACGATTGGGTTGCAGCGTTGCCCAGGGCTTTGGTTGCTGGATTTGTCAAAACGGATAAAGATTTTTTGGAGAAAGGTGAAATTATGATTGTGAATTTTGTTATTACTTGTCTCTAGATTAATGTATTGGAAGTTTGAATTTAAAATTTGAGGAATTTGAGTAGTATTCGACCGTTTATTTTGGGTCGGTTTTCTCAGCAGTTGGGTGTTGGTAAGTTGGACATTGACGCCTTGACTGTGACTTGGCTGACTGATATGACAATCTTTTTCTCTATTTGAAAGAGTGTGTTTTGTAATCTTTTAAAAGACTTGATTTCGTGATGAGGCGTGATAAGTAACGAGTGGGTAGCTTTGTTTACAGGACAAGCGTCGGGAACTACTGTTACCTTTGCGATTATTGAAGGATGGTCTATAACTGTAGCATCAGTAGGGGACTCACGTTGCATACTTGAATCTGCTGAGGGTGAGATAATTTGTTTATCTGCTGATCACAGGCTTGAGAGCAATGAAGAAGAGTAAGTCGTAGGCGCAACATAGTTCTATTAGTCACCTTAATTCTGTGCTACTGTCGATGTTAACATATTAGTTCAACTTGTTATCAGGAGAGATCGTGTTACAGCCTGTGGAGGTGAAGTTGGTCGGCTTAATACTGGTGGTGGAACAGAGGTAACTTTTTTTTTTTGTTTTTTATTTTTTTTTTCTCCGGAAACCTATTCTTCTCTCTCTTTTGATTTTCCTGTTTATTCACTACATCTTCTTGCTTGAATTGATAGAGTTTTAAACTTTTAATCCTTCTTTTTTCACTGGAATCCATCTTGTTGCCTAATGTATCAGACTTACTAGAAATGCCTGATATATTTATTGGTTAATGTTTATTTATTTGTTTTGTTTTATCCTATATACCAGACTATGCTCGTTGTAATGCACTGGGCATATTTAAACATAAAAAATGATACAGTAATTAGGCAGAGACATTATCCTTTTTTTTTGTGTTATATTTTTTTTGTTATAGATAATTAGACATTTTAGATTTTGAAAAGTATGATATGAAGAGTTTTGGATGGATCGCACACATATACACCATTAAGGTTTTGTAGAGATTTAGTGAAAACATATTTCTCTCTTATTATATAAGATGTTAGTGTCCAAGTAAAGTCCAAAATAGGTTTCTATGACAAAATAGGGGTACTTTTTAACTTGAATGAGTGAATCTCTGTGCTTAGTTAATTACCCACCTATAAGGGAACCACTTAATTTTTTCTTTTACCTGTAAACTATTATCTACATTTACTACTGTGTGGTTGTTGAATGAAAAGATGAAAAAGTTCCTGTAAATCTACAGTTGTAAAGGGATGCAAGTGCTGGATATCATCCGCTTACAATCCTGTCTTCATAGGGAAGACAAAATGATTAAATGGATTGGCGACATATCACTTCATAACTGACTGTAAAAGTGGACATTCAATTGTTTGGTCTACCCCATCGTTTTTTATCATTTTGGCTGGACTTTAGAGTAATATATGCTGAATGTGTACCTAAGGCTTATTGAATCCTCTCCGGATGCCTCTTCTTCTGAGGGAATTCCAGTGAAGTGGATGAAGTACTAAAATCTGGAGCATGTTTTGCGCCAGATTTTATCTTATGTGTTCTGCCAATTTTATAATTATTTTGCCCTCAGCGTCACTTTTTTCCTATTTTGTTACTAACTGGAGCATGTGATTCAATGCATATACAGATTGGTCCGTTGAGATGTTGGCCTGGTGGCCTTTGTCTATCTCGCTCCCTTGGAGATAGGGATGTTGGCGAGTTTATAGTTCCAGTCCCTTATGTGAAACAAGTGAGGGTATGTTGACTATTTACCAATATTCTTCTTTTGCTTGATCATCAATGCTGTCAATGTGTTTTGGAAAAGCTTGCAGATTATAATGTTTTTAATTTTTACGAAATGTATATCCTTGACCTCTTTGAATTTCGCATAATAATTTACTTGTTTTATGTTGAAGTTCCTGAGATTTGTTCACATTTCCTTTTCTTTGTATATATCTTAGACATGGTCAAATTAGACTTTCTTGACTACCTTTGAGATGATTTCAATCATATATTAGAGCAAAGTTAATGATAGATATTTTTAGAGAAGTAAAAGTCCACTGAAATCTTGTTATCTTGTTAGACGCCTTTTAATCTGAAGCATGAGTATGAACGAAGACATTCAGTCAAATCAAAGTTTTAGATAACGGCCTTATTTAGGTTGTGATGGGCAGTTCGCACTTGTCTCTCATCTTGCTTCAGTATGATATTATAGGCTTTCAAAGAGTCACTAAGGCAATGATGCAGTCTTTAAAATCTTTTGTGATACTACGACAACTATTGCCGCTGTCAGTTCTAGTACATCATGACATGTCTACGACTATAAGTAGCAAATGTAAATTATGTGCATTATCAAGCTTTCTGGTTATAAACACTCACATCCCCCTAGCCTCAATGTCCCGAAACTATGCTTTTAAACTTTTTTTAAATAAAAAGGTATACAAAGTTGTAAATGGCTACCTGTCTCTGTAGTTTTGTACTTCCTCTGTCCCTCTTTAATCTTTACATTGGAATCTTTTTGTGAGAGAAGAATGGTCAAAAGCATAATGTTTTAAAAGTAACGGAGGGAGTAGGTGGGTATAAGTTGAAGATGCATTGTTTCATGACCCTTTCTGAATTTTGACAACTCTATGATGTATATCTGTTGGGCTTAATCTAGTATGAGACTACCTCAGAAATGCTTAATGTGAGACATTGATGATGCTTCCTACTTTAGTGATGTTTGCTGCCTTTTTTCGGGACTTCTTTTTATTTATTTATTATTATTTTTTTTTATGTCTAATGTTTGTATTAAGTTAGCATTAAGGCAATCTCACTGAGACATCTTTATATCTGTTATTTGATTTAACTAGAAATTTACGTGTATCAAGTTTCTGATAGGATCTGCTTCTGAATTTTGCAGCTGTCAACTGCTGGTGGTAGGCTTATTATCGCTAGTGATGGTGTGTGGGATATTATAAGTTTTGAAGCAGCACTTGATTGTAGTCGAACAATGGCAGCAGAGACAGCAGCTGTCCAAATTGTCAAGGTATGCTGAACAGTCGTGTGCTTTGTTACTCCCATGTACAGGAAAAAGTGTTTTCTGAGCAGTAATCTATTTTATATACTTCTCATATATATATGTGTGTGTGTGTGTGTGTGTGTGTGTGTGTGTGTGTGTGTGTGTGTGTGTGTGTGTGTGAGAATTACTTTTCCTACATTTCAAAACCTTATAGATGATTTAGAAAATGTGGAAATATAATTCGGTACATTGGATTATTTTCCAAAATTTAATAGATCTGGGAGTTGCCTCTTTATATGGGTCAGTGGGTGTAAAAGCCATTTGTGTAATTGTGTTTACTTAACTGTGAGTCTGCAACTGTGTCTAATAAAGCTTATTTCTATCCTTTGCGTACAAATTGCAGGAAGCAGTGCAGGTGAAAGGTATCAGGGATGATACAACCTGTATAGTGGTTGACATTTTCCCACCAGAGAAGAATCTCCCTTCTCCTGCACCAAAAAAACCAGGAAAAGGAGTTTTTAAGGCCATCTTCCGAAAGAAGTCAGCTGAGTCAACATCTCAAGCGGAACGAGAGTACTTGGAACCAGATGTGGTTGAGGAGATGTTTGAAGATGGATCTGCATGTCTTACAGAAAGGTTTTCTCTCTTTTTGATCATTTCTCACTGTGACTTGGCCATCTGGGTTTTCCTTTGGCACTCTGCAATAATTGTGAACTTGTGCATTTCAGGATTTTTTTTTTAATAGTAAATTGTGGCTTGCAGGCTTGATACCAAATATCCACTTTGCAATATGTTCAAGTTGTTCATGTGTGCAATTTGTCAAGCCGAGATTAAACCCGGAGATGGTATTTCAATACATGCCGGCTCTTCCAATCGGAAAACTCGCCCCTGGGATGGCCCTTTCTTGTGCCAAAGTTGCCAAGAAAAGAGAGAAGCAATGGAAGGGAAAAGACCGTCTGGAAGTATGTTTTGCTGTCTTTAGATATCTGCTTATAGGTTACGAGTAGTTGTAAATGATCCTAACCTTGGAATCATTGCATTTCTAACTTCGTGCAGATAGATATAACAGTGATAGTGATTAGCTGGCAGTAATTTCGGTATGTGGTTGGCAAAGTCCGATTGGTTATGCCAGTGATGGAAGAATTGAAAATTGGAGGTTTGTCCCGTTGCTTGAATTTATTTCTTCGACTCACAAAGGAGTTGAAGCATATATCTAGGTTCGTTTGGCGTTGCTGAGTGTACCTCTTCCCTCCTTAATCCTTATATGTTATTTCAAGTCAGAATCTCATATTTAGAAGTGGCTAACCTAATTTAGCATCTTCCCCTCACTGGTGAGTGTTTAATTATCTCGATTACGTGAGCCTCCGTTGGAAGTTTAGTGGAAGGTCGATAAACCTATTTACTTGCTGCTTGCTGTTCTCTCCGTAGCTCAGCTGAAGGGAGTATTCAGGTTTCGTTCTGCTTCTCTGGTCAATTCAGCTGTATACTACATCCATACATAGAATTCCCACTGTATACTATTTCCGAAAGGGGCATTCGGGTTTGTATTATCTATACGGACGTACACATAGGATTCTTTATAGCGCAAAATTAATTATTTGAGTTAACTCAACCAATTTGTTGAAATATAGAAGCTTCTTTCCTTAAGATTCTTAAGCAACTAGGAAAGTGGTGAATTTTTAAATAGAAATCTCATGGTTTTATGATATTCTTTCTGTTCAACTGATCTTGTTTGTATCGTATTTCTGAAAGTTAATCATTTGTGGTTAATATAATCAATTGGGTTATGCAAGGTGGCAGTCAGCTTAGACATGTGCAATAATTTAATCAAACATTTTTAATTTATGGAATTATTTTGGAGCCATTGAAAATTATAGGTTTTTTTTTTTTTTTTTTCCTTTTTTTGGTTTTTATTTAGTTGAATTTAATTGATTGATTAATTCAATGTTTGACATCGAAGATAAAGCAGCTGATTTGATGATTTGCAACATGTATAACACTCATAGCCAGCTGTACTAATACTACGTACTCCCTTCGTTTCTTATTTCTTGCAACATTTACCAGTTTTAGATGTCTCACATTTCTTGCAACAAACTTCTTTTTTTCCTTATTTAGAAACTTTTTTCTGCCAAAAAGACCAATATACCCTTATTTAAAAAAATTAAACACATAACACTACACATAATTACAACTCATTATAACCCTAATCGGGCCTAATCTGATTTAATTATCTCTAACCCTTCCCACCCAAATGAAATCATCTCCCCATTATCTTTCTCTCTTCTCCTTATCTCTCATCTCTCCTAAGCAAATTTGGCTTATTGGTGCTTTCGTTGATTTTGGTGGTGTTGTGGGTGGTTTTGGCGGTTCATTAGCCTAGATCGGGGAGGTTTGGTGGTGTCGATGGGTTTCACAGGGGTTTGTCGGTGGTCTAGGTTGTCTGGGTCGTCGGTGGTTTAGGTGGTTTGGTTTGTAGGTGGTTAAGGTGGTTTGGTGGTTCGTGGATCAGAATTGGGTTCGGTGGTGTCGGTGGTTTCGCAGGGGTGGAGGAGGGGTTTTGGTGGTTTCGCAGGGGTGGATGAGGGGTTTTGGTGGTTTCGTGGGTTTGGTGTAGTGGGTCTTTGTGGCGGTTGTGGGTGGCCTGGGTTCTAGATTTGGGTGGTTTTTGGTAGAAGTGGTTTCGTTAGGTGATCTCAAGTGGTTCTAGGTGGATTCGGGTGGTTCTGGGTGGTTTCCAAGTGGTTCTGGGGAGTTTCGTTGGTGGTTCTAGGTGGTAGCGTTTCGTTGCTGGTGGTTCTGGGTGGCTTGCACGTTCTTCGGTGGTGGTGCTGGAGTTTTAGTTGTTTAATTAATTATTCACCCTCTCCCCTTAATTACATTATTTACATGCCCTTACTTTTTTATAATCATGCTTAAAAACTTTTGACTTGGGAACCGTGCACCCCCCTTTGTTGCAAGAAATAAGAAACGGAGGGAGTATTTGTTTTCCTCTTTCTTTTCTTGCGGAGAACGAGTACCAATCAACTTGACCATTACATTGTTATTGTAGCAGTTTTACATGATCAGAGTGTAGTAGAGGTGTTAAAACAGCTTGACCCGCCTGAATATGGGCATCAAATCTGGCCTGGATTTGCCCGGCTAAAAGTGTCTACTTTTATGGTCTATTGATTCAAAATTTTGACCAGATTTTGGCCTGGTCTGGCCCAGGTTATTGTTTAGCTCTAACGTTTGCTATTGACGTATTTGGATCGCGGGGTAATGTGAGTTTAGGATTAGAAATGGGTTCAGGGTGGTCGGGGTTGAAAGTTGGTACTCCATCTGTCCCTATTTTATTGCTCCATTTGACTATGCACGGTCTCCAAGACATGTATTAGAATCTTTATATCTTTATTTCCATACACGTAAAAATTATAAAAACGTGATATTAATAAAATATAAAATGAGACGAATCTAACAAGACCACTCATGACTATATTACCTTTTATAGATTAACGACAATTTATGGTCAAAGTTTTCAAAGTTTGACCCAAAAAATGGCAATGGGGCAAAAATAAAGGGACAGAGGGAGTACTTAGGGCCTGTTCCGATTGACTGAACTCAGCTGAACTGAGCTGAACTGAAATGAACTGAACTGAACTTATTAATTAGTGATTTTTAACTACGGATTAGTGATCTTTGATTATTTATTACTATACATATGTGTATATACAAATGTACATATTAATAATAATAATATTATTATTATTATTATTAATATTATTATTATTATTATTGTTATTATTATTATTAATTATTGATTATTGATTATTATTATTAATTATTGATTATTATTATTATTATTATTATTATTCATTGATTATTATTATTATTATTATTATTATTATTATTATTTATTGATGATTATTATTATTATTATTATTTATTGATTATTATTATTAGTATTATTATTTCAATTATTATTATTGTTGTTATTATTATTATTATTATTATTATTATTATTTATTGATTATTATTATTATTATTATTTATTACTTATTGATTATTATTATTATTATTATTATTATTGTTATTATTATTATTATTATTATTATTGTTATTATTGTTGTTGTTGTTGTTGTTGTTGTTGTTGTTGTTGTTGTTGTTGTTGTTGTTGTTGTTGTTGTTGTTGTTGTTGTCGTCGTTGTAATAAGAGCTTAAAAGAATGAAATTTGGCTTTATATCATTAGACGTAAATTAAGAGCTGAACTGAACTGAGTTGAGCTGAACTGAACTGAACTGAACTGAATTTCAACGGAAGAGAACAAGCCCTTAATAATATTTAATTGAACAATTTTCTTCTATTTGATTATTGTAGGGTTTGTATGAGTCATACCCACTTTCATGCGTTTTTAAATCTTGTACCTTATGAGTTTGAAATATGAACGTGTGAATTAAATTTATTTTAAAGACGAGGGATTGATTTTAGTCGGTGTAACTCATACTTTATATCATATAACTATATTACTTGAACTAAACAACCGCTTATAAGACTTTCAAAACCTATGTCATTAATAATGAAGCTTTTTTTTTTTTGTTTTATGTTATGTTGTGAAATTGATTTAGGGTTTGCAATGTTCATGAATTTATGAAAAACTTAGGAATTCTGAATATTTGTAATAATAGTTTTTTTTTTTTTTTTTTTTTTTTTTTTTTTTTTTTTTTTTTTTACAAAGACAAAGACAACAATTATAAATCATACAATTTAATATACAAAAGTGAGTAAGAAAATGCGTCTTGTTCACCTAAATTCATTTTTTAAATGACACAAATTTGAAATAAAGGCTAAGCTCCATTTTTTTTTAAGTGTTCAAAATATGCTAAGCGTATTATTTGGTGGTATAGAAAGAATTTGGATCATTGAAGTTGAATCCAAAAACTCCATTAATCGATTGAATAGCTAAGCACACCAATTTTAGTGTAACCTGTCCTGTATTTTGCCCCACCATTTTGAAAGTTTCACTCTCTGTCGAATAACCATAACCCATTAATTTCAAAATACATTACGTTTTTATAACAAAAATTTTTAATTAACATAATTTCACCACATACACCATCTTGTTTTTCAAATTTATTTTGTGCCAACCCAACCCATCCAAATGGTCATGGGCTCGATTGGCCTATACAACCTAACCCATCTTAAAGTCATATTTACCTCTTTCACTTATAAACTAGTCATAATTTATACCTATTTATAGGCCATCATCTTACTTTAAGATGACTAGTTTATAATAATGGCAATGGGGCAAAAATGTAATAGATTTTACTACTCCTTGTGTGCAATGTAACACAATTTCTTGTGTTTGAGAATTTAAATACACTTGCATTGCTAGCATGCCCCTATGAAATAAGTAATGCACTTTTGTTGGACTATGTGTGTCCCTTAATGTCGATCTTGGAGATTACAACTTAATATTGTAAACAAGTGAACATACAAGACCCTTGCTAGTGTACTTGATCACTTGAAATCCGGAAGTAGGTAAAGTTGGAAGAGAAACACAAGTTTTAATTTGGGATTGATTAAATATATAGAACTCTCAACTTAAATTTACAAATGGTCTCTTGGTGCCTATTTATAGGCCATCATCTTACTTAAAAGAGATGTCTTAGAAACTTCCATAACCTTAACAAATGGGAGAACCTAGATCATATCCATGCTAACCTCCTAGAACATTCTAAGTATCTAATGTACATACATAGAACATCCTAAATACATTTTCAAATGTACAAGAACACCCTTGAGTATTCTAAAAACATCCTTGCTAGAACACTCTATCTCAAGGGCGAAGTAAAACTTAATTGAGGAGGGGGTCGGTCTAATAAAAATGATATTGATGAGGGATTGAGAGTGTCCAATATGCATGCATCCATGTTACTTTAATAAGTGCGAGTAAGGTGAAGCACATATAAGATAAAACACCAGAGGGCCATGACCCTCTTAGACTCGGAAAAATATATCCGAAACACTAGAAAAAGAATACATATATTTTCTTATGTTTTAACATATATAATTAGATATGATCACAATAAATTGGTTTATGTTTAATAACATATATATAAGTGTATTTATCATTTTTTTTATCAAAAGTTTTACTCCTTAATACTTTAATAATATAATATGTAAACACTTATTACTAAATTATGAAACATGAATAACTTCACGTCTTCACCGAATTGTCATTTGACACTTAGCCATGGGCGCAAAAGAAAGCGATGGGAGGCCAAAGGGCCAAATTTTTTTTTAGCTTTCCACGTTTACAACTTGGATTTACTAAGAATTGATTAAGAAAGATTGCTAATAAACACATGAATGATGAAGTTTATTTGAGTGGTTATTGAAGAAAACACAAGAAAAAAGGGGGATGGATTTGCAAACCTATATGAATGTGAAATCTTTGTTTCATGCAAACTTACCTAACCATTTTTCTTCTTATTCTTTATTTTCTCTTGTTACTTTTGTAAGTTTTTAGTGAGACTAGTTTTCAATATTAATTGAGAGACTTAATTTAGTGGCACCCATTAAATAATGCTTCCATGATTGAGATGTTGACCTCATGATACCTTACAAAAATCCTCTATGCATGTTGGACCACTTCTACACGTGTGTTCCGGGTCTACCATGACCTCTTTTCATCAAAACTTGGCTTTAGCATTTAATTTATTTATTAATTTTGGTCGGTACACACAAGCTGATGATCTATCTCACTTATCGTTAATATTAAAACTCAGTTTATTATTTATAAGTCTCTTGTATATGGGTAAAAAATAAGGTTGAATGTTGTAGTTATTTTAACTCGTGACCTCGGAAATGTTAATGTAGCTCCCACTTTATCTATATTTATTTAAACTTAACTATAACATCTTATTTAAACTTAATGTAGCTCCCACTTTATCTAAATAAGATGTTAATGTAGCTCATGGTCTGCCTCACTTATTGTTTATCATCCCTACAACCCATTTGTATCATAACACTTCAACATCTTATTTATTTATCGATCTATCCTAATTGGTACATAAAATCTTATGATCTGCCTCACCTATCATTTATATTAAAGCTAGATTTGCGAGCCGAGTCTCATGTACGTAGACATAGGAGGCCAAACATGGTACGACTGGCTCTAATATGGGACCTTGAGATTGCCAATGGAGCTCCCACCACTTGACCAAACTATGCTCCATAAACCTAGCTATATGATATGGTATAGGGAAGAAAATTGGTGCATGCAAGTATTATATGCAATGCATATATACAAAAAAAAGGGTCCATATTTGGCCAAGTTTGTCCACGAGGTGTATGAACCGTCACTCTCTTTTTTCTCTAGTCCTCATTGGAAAGCATATATCTTTGATAGTACACTTCTTAAATTCTAGGCCTTAAGTTTCTATCTCATCTACAATTCATTGTCCTTTTGTGTACTTCATCTTTAATAGAACATGGTTCTAAACATTGCACTTATCTCATTTCTTATTTATTTATTTGATATTGTTACATTTTGTGAATTAGACCATACCTTCAAATAGGATATTGTCATAGTTATATTGTTCATTCCTTTTGCAAATTGTCGTCTCAATCTGCATTGTATAAGTTGGTTCTATATTATAAATGCTACTATGCATGTTATTGATTCTTTCAAGATTATGTTATCTTCATTATTGCTTGTCTTGCAATACTGTAACTTGCACAGTTAAGCTATTTGGATTTTCTTACTTCAGAAGAGAACATAATTTTCAATGATAAAGCATATAATAGGAGTAAGATTTAATGAACATTGAAGTAGGATTTAATTTTACGTAAATCTTTGGGAAGATATCCATAAAAACTAGAGAAAAAAAACATATCAAAAAAATAAGGGACCTATGAAAAGAGGAGAAAGATAAATAAAATCATGATTCAAATAAACTTATTTTGCAATTATTTTATCTTACGTTACTATTAAAATAAATCAAAGAAAGTATAAAGCTTATTCTATTGAAAGAAGCCGAGCCTCCCTTTTGACCATATATATTTGTAGATTATTGTAACATCATTTGCTTGTATATATTCGAAAGCTTTCTAATACTTCCTGCGTTTATAAAGTGAACTAATCCGTATAAATTAACATAGCAAGAAAAATAGTGGGTGCATGTGATTACATTTTGTAGATTGAATGGAACACTACAATTTCTTGATTTGGAATACTAAAAACACAAATCAATTAAACATGTACTCTCTCATATCCATTTGAGGATTGAGAATTTACGTACTTTACAACCACAATGCATAAAATTCAACTATGGTTGAAAGCATATATCCATTTTTTTTTTTAAAAAAGCATATATCCAATTTTAATGCATCATAATGCTACTATTTCTTGGAATAAAATGATCATACTTTGTTTTATTTTATGTTTGGTTTTTATAAAATGCAAATAGTAGCACAAAAATTTAGGTAGAGTGGAGGAAAAGGATTGAAATTAAGACCAAGTATGGTCTGCCATTATAATTTGTATATTTCCACAATTTATGCATAAATAAACATGGTTCAGAAAAAGAATTTTTTTAAAAAAAGAGATATTTTCACCACATTTTGCAGCTTCCTTCGTCTTTTTATTCCTAAAATCCCAAGTGCTCAAAACGGACAAATCAACCCACTCCCAAACAAAAAGCACACTCCAACCATACATGTAATTGCGTGCAAATCATGTACTACTCATACTTAAATACTATCAAATTTTAACACTAAAGTTGCTTCATCCATTCAAAAGATTCCTCTCCAAATACCAAGTTTGTGCTTTTCTTCACCATCTAGAAGGGTAATTACAATTACTTGAGTTTACTCAACTCCTTTTGTATCTCCACTAAAAGATTTTACTAAATAAACGCCGACTATAAGTCAGTTAATCGTTATGTATTTCCGCTAAAAGATTTTACTAAATAGGCGCCTCTATAAGTCAGTTAATCTAACCATATATGTCAATATTTAAGTGTAATGGGTAAGAAAATCCGCTATTTTTGAGCTAAAGTAGATGATCATACTCAAATTGAACTTGTGACCTCAAACATGTTTGGTTATTTGCTAACGTTAATCATTTTAGATACACAACAGTGAAATCTATAAGTTAATTGCAGTAATGATTTGTTTAAGTGCAAAGTACATGAACCGATATATTTTTGACAGCTTACATAACGACCAAGTTGTTGTTATTGGATTTTCCCCCATTTTTTCCATTATAATACAGATTATATTAAATAGTCCATGACTATCTAATCACTAAATTAGGGGTATAATCATAGCCACTCCTAAAGATGAATAACTAGCTCTTAAGACCTAAATTGGACCCACAATTTCTAACAAAAACAGCTAATCAAAAAACATTATAAGGTCACCCCACAAACACACTATACACTATACACTACATACGTCAATATTTGTATGTGAATATAATACAATACGATCACCTTCTTTTTCTGTATTCTTCTTAAAATAGACATTTGCTTCTTAAACCAACTTATTTCTTTCTTGCCTCTAAAATCTATCTCTAAACTCTCTCTGTTTATCTCTCACTCTTTCTCAACATCCATCCATCTTTATTACTACCATGTCCATGGAAACTCAGCAACAAGTTCGGCACGAAAATCGTAATATTCGGGATTCAGAAACAGAAGGAAAAGAGCTAGCAGAACAGGTAGTGCAGCAGCAAAGAGCAACACCAGGTGCATCAGCAACGAATTCACCAGCATCTTCACCATCACATGAATTTTCCTTCACAATCTCATTGCATACCTCTGCAGCAACGACACCGAAAGCATCATCATCGCCTTCGTTAGCAACGAAATCGAAGAACCAACAGCAGGCACCATTAGCAATTGATTTATCTCCTGCTGATGAAATCTTCTTCCATGGTCATTTACTTCCTCTCCACTTCTTATCCCACCTCCACGCCTCCTCTGCTCGCCCCTCGACTCATTCGTTAGACGGGTTTTCCGGCCCAATCAGAGACGCCTTTCATGAAGAAAAGCCACTCACAAGCAGCACTACTGATAACAGCAGCACCACCTGCAGCTGTACTGAAGACGACGACCAGTACATCTCATTCGACAAAGATTACAGCGAAATAGAAATCAACAACAATATAATTGGAAACGATTTCAGAAGCAAAGAAAGAAGCAGAAGCAACAACAACAACAAGTTCAAATCATTCTCCCTCTTTGGATTATCAAAATGGAAAAAACTGTCTGACAGTAAAGAAAAAACAGAACACCCAGAAAACTGCAGCAGACGAAATAAACTGAAGTCTGATGTAACTCAATTTCTTAAGAGATACATCAATATGGTGAAACCACTGTTATCTCCCAGAGGTGGGAGAAGGGATAGTGTACGAGTACGAAGGCAATCGTACTCGTTCTCGGGGACGGTTAGTCCCCGAGACAATAGAGAGCTAATGAGGGGAAGACGAGGAGAGTTTTCGGCTCCTGCGTCAATGAGGACATCACCTACTAACAGTGGACTTCTTTTGGCTACTGCAGGGGTGCCATCACCTTCTAGTGATAGCACCATGGAAGAGTTGCAGGCTGCTATTCAATCTGCTATTGCTCATTGCAAGAATTCCATTTCAACTGAAGATAAGAAATCATCACAAGAAATTTCATCATCAATTTCTGTAAATTAAATTAAATTAAAATTAGCATTCATTATTAATATCAATATAATCATAATTTTATCTTCATTTCTTGTTTTCAAATATAATTCTTTATTTTAGATTGCATTAGGCCCTATTCTTTTGAGTTTGTGAGCAGTTTAAAGCAGATTTCAGCAGAGTAGTAGACCATATTAACTCAAAAGTACAGAGCCTTGGTATATTATACTCCCTCCGTCCCAAAAAGAACGACCCATTTGGCCAAAAACTTTGTCCCAAAAAGAATGACCCATTTGCATTAAAACACCCACCAATTTGCTACAATATTTGTGCAAAATTAGCTTCCCCATATAAAAATTTGATTTTCCATGTTATTTTATTACTTTTTCTCTCTATTTTTTTTACAAACCCCATGTAAATTTATCTTTCCAATATATTTTTACTTCTTTTTACTTAACTTCCTTAATACCCGCGTAATCAATCCAAATGGGTCGTTCTTTTTGGGACGGAGGGAGTAGATGTTAACTGTATGCTAGTAAATGTTGGCACGTGGTAATTACGACAGTACAATAAATTGAATTTTGTCTACATCATTATCTTCATGTATAGTATTTTAGTCGTCGGTTTGAAAAAACATAATGGCAAATGAATTAAAACCTCATATTCATGGTACAAAACACAAGGTTTGGGAGCTTCCAACCAATTTTGGTCCAATAATGGTTGGATTGCTAGCTCAAAACAGTTCCAACAGGGCCTGCCTTTTGCCCCACAAGTTTGAGGTGATGAATACAATTTGTTGCAGGGGATTGATCGTTAGTTCCAGATGAAATTATTATAATGTACTTGTCATTTTAATTAATTCTTATCATAACCACCACTAAAGACGTGTAAGGATGGGGCTACGATGATAAAACTGACAATAAATCGCGCTATTAGTGTTAATTTGATACGATTTGTGTGATAATGAATTAACAATACACGTTATTATGTTTAATGATGTGCTCGTTACATTATAGCAAATAAAGGATACTATGTCACAGTTTATGTAAAAAGAAGCACGAATTGACATTGTTGAGCACTAATGAATATTATACTTAAAATACATTTAGAGACCCTAGTTATATGATTTTGGGAAAGAAATTGCATGTAAACATGGATAACTCTGAGCATATTATCTGCAGCTTAATTTCATTTCAGTTCAGCCCAGATTATTTTTTAATTTCCTTCCCTCATAAACAATTCAGTTCAATTCAATTTAGCTCCAATCAGTTCAGTTCAGCTCAGTTTAGTTAATCAGAACAACCCCTTTATTGTGAAGTCTAATTCAAGAAAAAGGTAAGATTGTATACAACCAAATCATATGGACATGATAATTGATTTTTTTTTGAAAAAAGTCATATGATCTTCGTTTTTATTTTAGCAATTTCAAACACAACACTGTTCTTGTTCACTTAATTTCAAAAAATAAAAAAAAAAACAATTTTCTAACGAGACTATGATGCATATATGATGATTCTTGGAATTGAACTTGAGGAGACTAGATTGCTCATATGTCAAATTAAACAATGCATCTGGATCAACAAGTCATGTCACAATAAAGGACACTTCTAATTAATGCCAAATTTTCCTAAAACGCATGCAACATAATAAAAGACCTGCCATACTACTATACTAATATGGTGTACACATTTAATACAAGAACAAATTAAGTACATTATTGTACAAGTGGATTAGGTTGAAAAATAATACGAGTACCTACATTGATATAATCGAATATTTTATTCAATTTGCACATAAATGGAATTCATATGTAAATTTGGATCATATGGAAAAAAGAAGAGATAAATAATAACATAACAACCACAATTAGACGAGAGATATAATCTAAAATATAGAAAAATATTTCTATTAAAAAAGTGATGCACTTGTTTAAGAACAATTGTATAAATTAAATAACGCACTTATACAGAAATAAATTTGGGTAGTAGCATATAGCTGAAGCTTCGTTGTTAGCAGATAGCAAATTGATAATGTGGGTCATTTGATTTGAAAACTCAAGACTTTTAGAATAAAGGCTTAAGAGTACCTCAAGTACTATAATGTGCAATGATATCTATATGTACTAATGCACATGCATGGCTGCATGCTAACCATGTTATTAATTTAGTTACGCCCCGAAACTAATCAAATCATAATAATGATAATAAGCATGATGGTATTCATGATTAGTGCAACTAATCACGAGGCGAATTAACGATCTTTTCCTTCTAAGAACCTCCCTTAATTATGTTTAATTAGCTCATAACCTTGGTAACTAGAGCCCACCCATTTGTATTATTATTTTATATACTTCTCTTCTTTTGAAAAAAACTACTACTTTAGGACCATTGTTATGCTTTGATTAGCTAGAAAAAGTGATTTATTGTATGTATAAACAAGATTATGTGTATAATTACGCGTGTGTGTGCAAGATCGAAATCCTGGTAGATCTTCTAGTTTGATTATTTTTTGGTAGTTTGAAGAATTAAGCATGAAGATACCTTATTAAAGTAATTCATTTGATTGCTCGATCTTAATTTAGATTTACAGCAGAGATCAACTTTTGCATCTTTAGTAGATGATCTTGTAATAATAATTAAGAAAGTAATTTGCTTTAATGAATTAACGAGAAAGCATTTTGCAATGATTGAAATATTCAATTAGCATAGGTAAATTAAAAAATGTAAATAATTGACTAAAGTAAAATCTTTTTTGATTTATGAGCTTTAATACACGTGTGACTGACCTTAATCATCCTAGAGCAGTGCAAAAATGCTTGGACGCTTTATTATGAAGAACTTGGACTAGATAAAGTACTTAACTTATACGAGTAATATATGATCGCGTCCCTTATTTTATGGCACTTTAAATTGTCCAAAGAATAGTTGGGTACTTGTAATTAATTAAATTGTATAATAATTAGGTTATATTTGGCGTTAGCATTTGAGGTAGTGAATTAGCATTTTGATCAAGTCTAAACCCCACTAGGAAAACATAAGAGTGTTTTTGAAGGTAGTGGTTTGGATAGCGATTAGCTTAGTGGTAGATGTAGCATTTGGGTAGCTTTTCTAAAACGTTAAAAACAGTAGCGTTTCATAGTAGCGAGTAGCGTTTGACAAATTTGATTACTTTATTCAAACAATGTGTAAGAATTTTAATGTAATTTAATATTGCAATCGCCGCTACTTTTGCGAAACGCTCATATTATCAAACGTTACTTTTACAGCTAAATTCTACCCATTACTTCAACACTAGCGTTTGAGTAGTTTTTAGTGGTTTGATTGGGGTCAATCCACTGCTTAACAAAAGTGGTGGATGTAGCTTTTATGAAAAGTTAAAGTATTAGCTTTTGAAGTTACATGTATCTTTTGAGATAGCTATTAAAAATTTAATCTATAGTTTTAAAAATAAAATATTGATTTTTATATGTAAAAGCTAGTCAACCGCTACTTTACCGAATACTCATACCTAAATTATCTATCTTCATAGTTAACAGTTTATTGACAGCTAAAAGCTACCCACATAGCTAACAGATACCTTAACAGCTATGTTTTGTCAAACACGCCCCACAGCTTCTCACTAGCCGACCGATAAAAGCTACATGCTGCCATTAATTTTGCCGAAGTATTTGGACATATATACATTTTATTTTTTGGTAGAAAGCAGCAGCTAAATAAATTAATACTATTGAAAAACATCATAGAGATAGACAAGTTTCAACAGTATCAACACAGTGGTACAAATTCTTCACCCATCTAACTTTGGATTGGACTAGAATAAGCCCAATAAGGTGGTTCAACACCTTCAAAATACAAAGCTATCTCCGAAAGAAAGCAGGACGATTGTTGTCAGATAACGTAGTATTAGGATTAGGGGGGGTTGTTTATAATTTAAGAAACTAGGTCAGTTCCTATGTCATGGGCGATATATTTTAATTTTCATTAATAAATTAACGTTTAATTTAATTAAATTTTTTTAAAATAACTGTCAACAAATTTTTACTAAAATATACTAGTAGTTATTTTCTTCTTATTCATACAAAAATTTAAATGTTGAATATCACGTGAAAACGTTGTTTAGTGTTTCCTCTGTAAATGTCTTTGTAGAAGATATGATTTCTTGTAACTCCGGTTTATTCGTTTTTACATAAGTATGTAATTCGACTAGGTGTTTCCTTACTTGCTCAAGTTCTAATGATCAAGATAACCGTTCGTACCGGTATAGATAGTCACTGCTCTTTGACCGTGAGAAGGGCGGATTGGGGTTGTTTGAGCAATTCACGTAATCGTTGCCCCCTTGCCAACTGATTCCGAGTAGCTTTATCAAGATTAGAAGCAAATTGGCAAAAGCTTCTAATTCGGCAAATTGTGCCAGTTCCAGTTTTAATTTACCAGTTACTTTTTTTTTCATGGCTTTAATTTGAGTGGCGGATCCTACTCGAAAACCAGAAATAACCACATTAATAGCCGACCTGATTCTAGCATTGAATAGATCGGCGGATAAGAATATTTGTCCATCTGTAATGGAAATAACATTAGTAGGAATATAAGCTGAAACATCTCCCAATTGGGTCTCGACTTAGTACTTTAGTCCAATGAGTACTTTAAAATTATGTCGAATGACTCTTTTTTAAAACGATCGGTAATTCACGACCGTTTTTAAAACCATTCGCTAATATTTCATTTTACCGACTTGACGCCTGTCGGTAATATTGATTGCTAAAAACGCTTTTTCTTGTAGTGGTTTTTGATCATATGGGTAATTTTAAGTTTTCAAAGACAAAATTGATGTATCCTTTATATTTTTTACTACTTCGGATTAATAAAAGAAGTATATATAAATTATATATATAGGCTTCCCCCCCCCCTAATCTAGTAATTATTCTGTCAAGTTTATGAAGATTATACTACCTCCGTTAATAGTTATGTGCAACTTTTGCCATTTCGAGATTATCGAGGTTATGTGCAACTTTCCATTTTCTTTCTATTTTTAGTAAAAAAAAAGGTGAAAATTACTATATTGCCCTTACTTAAAATTTTTATTTTGTTAATTATTACCCTTATTATAACCTAATCTAATTAACCTAAGACTAATCAGATTCTCCTAATCTAATGATTCCCTCCTTTTATGTACCCATTTCCCCCCTTCTCTCCTCATTTACTTACATTTCCAACCACCAAAATTAAATTCTGA